GTTTATTACTTTCTACTCCTGCTAAAAATAAATCTGCATTGAATATATTTTGGTCTACTTACAAAGGTGAAATAATATGCGTCACAAAAGTTAACTGTATCACTACTAATTCAGAAACGTACTGACATTCCCACTTTTTAATGACAAACTTAGAAAATTACTGACAATGTGCTGTCGTTACTGTAAAACTTAGACAATTACTGACCTTTTTACTGCCGGTACTGATAAACATAGAAAAATGCTGACAATCTTAGTCGGTGCTAGAAAAACTTAGACAAGTGCTGACATTTACTGATTTAACTACTGTCCCTATTGTTCTCGCTCTCGTGGAGGCTGCAGTGGTGTGAGAATGAATGTGTGTTATACTTTGCATTTAAAAACAGTCTTATTTTAATTTTTTTATGAAAAAAAAAAATCCCAGGCAGTTATCATTTTTAAAATTTAAATATTATTGATATCTGAAAAATAATTCAGAATATGATTTGAAATTAACTGTGAGTAAATCCAAGTTTCAATTTATGTGTTGTCAATGAATATATCTACTCCTGTTCAGTTAAAGAATTAAAATTAATTACTCAGTAATCATCAAGTTAGTTTTCTTCTATTTATTTCTTTGCAGACTGATATCTGACTTCAATGTAGAGCCCCCCTAACCCCCCCCCCCCCCCCAGTTTTCACGAGTGGAAAGTTGTATCAATTTTCTTTTCACAAACAGGACATATGTCTCTTGTTACAAAAGGAAATCTTCTAAATATTGAATAACTACTGATAGGTACTTCAGTTTCCTAATTTTCCCGGACATCTGTACAAGTCATATAATTATATACCCCTGTTTAAGATTTCTGGTTTCATTTGCTCATACGGTAGTTCCCCTATTTAACAGTACAGTGTTCCATATATAAAATTGTACTATCATAATGCATGCCTTGTTAATTTTGTCACTTAAAACATTATATCTAAATGAATGGTTGGTTGATCGATTACGCAGGGTTCATAAGTACCCAATGTCTGTAAGTCCGAGACTAATAAATAATTATCAGACGTAATAAAAATTCATGCACTAGGAATTATAGTAACCTTACGGAAAATATTTATATTTAAAAGGTCAGCGGTAAGACTAATATTAGCAGCAGCACCATTCTCAAATATTTTTTTTCTCCCCCCCCCTCTCTCTCTCTCTCTCTCTCTCTCTCTCTCTCTCTCTCTCTCTCTCTCTCTCTCTCTCTCTCTCTCTTAAAGATACAAACAGTATTGATACTTTACGTTACTTAGAAACTTGACAAGTGCTCCGTTTCTACACATTGCCGAGGGGGTTAGATCACTATTTAGTTTTTAAACTTAATCTTTAAGTATTTTTAATTATGATTCAATTTTAACAAAAATATTACATGTTTCATACCTTCCATTTTTCCCCTGTAGCTATCGTCGAATTGGAATTAATTTAATTTTATTTATTTTTTTTTTTTTATTTTTATTTTAATTTCATCTCTTTAAAGTAGGTAGACGTAGGGGGTGTTATGATGTTAACATAATAATAAAGCAGAAGACGGACTTGTCTACTTGAGTAAAATATTTTACGAATTAGTGAAAATTGAAAGTCATTTGTCCGTCGAACCAGTGCTCACAAAAATTTATTTCTAACCCTCTAGCGTGCATGTATAAGCCCCCCCCCCCCATGCACACACGTTACATGAAAAAAATCTAGTATACCAGTAATTGAATATGATTTATAAAAATGTGTAAGTTTTTTGAATGATGCAAATTTCTTTGTTCAATTTATACCCGTAATCATTATTTATTTGAATCAGGTTTCATTAACATCTTTCCTTTTCATAAGATTAAGATTATTCGCTAACTGAAGGTGCCCACTATCTTCCGTGTCAAGTTGCTGTTCATCTCTCTCTCTCTCTCTCTCTCTCTCCCCAAAATCATTATCGACCAAAGCAAAGTTTAAAATATAGTTAAACTCCGGCTGATATTTTATTTTACTGTCATAATACTGCTGCATATAAATTGTTTGATTTTTAATTATTCTTAATTACTGATAAAAAGTTAAGGAAATATACTATGAACTATTTTTTATTTGATTTGATAATCAAACAAATTCCTCACTCCACTGTCCCACACACACACTAACACGACTTAACAAAAATATTTGGAACCAGTAATTTTACAAAACTTTGGATGTAATGTGCCCCTTCTCATATATTCATTTTTGCTAAAATCTGTAACAAGTTGTGCCTTTCTCCGGTTGGTTATTACATCAACCTTCTTTTTCATTAATCATTAATTTTTTCTTACGTCGGTATATTAAAAAAATTATCTATTTAATCTAAGAAGAGGTTGAAGGATTGTAGATTGCATTTCTATATTACGTTTGTGTTGGTGTTGTGTTTTCTACTTTAGTAGAATAATTAAAGTACATGTTCATCGTTCTACATTTAGTTCGCACGTGCCCCCCCCCCCCCCATTTTAATTTGAAAATTAACTAAATCCATGCGAACGTCTACCGACACTCTAATTGAAAAGAACATGATATTAATTTCTATTAAAGTTTTGTTTCAGGAGTAGGCATAGACAAAAGATGATAATGTAAAATGTCATAGTTTTACATTTATTTGAATTAAAATAACACTTTCAAGTGGGGATCCAGAAAATCTAGGTTCGAAAATCAGCTAAAAGATGTACATATTTTTTTAAAAAAGAATAATGCGGACAGTAACTTAACCAATGAATGTCAAAGGATCAATGATCAATGCAGGCCTGTAGCCCCCTTCCGCCTGCCCAATGAATAAAATAAAAAGTCTTCTTTTTTTAATTTAAATTCCCCGTCTGTCTTTTAATTTTGGGTTCTTCTTGCAAAAGCTTGGATTCGGGTATGTTTGACTGCACAAAAACAAATATGGGCGGCCTTCACATAATGAAAAATTTTACATAATATGAAAACTATAACAAACGCCTTTCCTCAAAAGGGCGCACCCACAGCCTCACTGAGTTTATTAAAATTATTCATACTAATTTGCTAAGTTTTACAGTAACGACAGCATATTGTCAGTAATTTTCTAAGTTTGTCAGTAAAAACTGGGAATGTCAGTACGTTTTTGACTTAGGTCAGCCGTTGATGAAAAAAGTATACAAGATACAAGTTTTTTATTTACCAATCAAGGGCCCCGATGGGCATTTCAACAAGTGAATAGGCGAGAAACTGTTCATAAGACGCTTTTTAAGAACTGATAAAAGCGGAACAAAATTAATATTTTGTTACTACTTAAAGGATAGACTATTTTCTTTATTATATGATTTTAAATAAGATTTTAAAAAGCATAAATTCTAATTAGGGTATGTAAATTAACTGATTATTGAAATGTTTTAAGGAAATTACTGCTGGTTTTTTGTAGAAAAAAAATTGTGTAAGAGATATAGAAGTTCTCCTTTCCCTCCCAAATCATTGACATCAGAAGCAAATTGAAAGGGGCCGGGCTAATTAAAGTGAAAGAAATATAAAAAATCAAACTTAAAAGCAAAACTTGACAAGCAAAAAAAACGTCCGTTGCTCAAATAGATTGGGGGGGGGCTCGAACGTCTTTTAGTGCCATTTATTTCAACAAACACTAGGCCTACCTCATACCTAAAATGCAACTTGCGTCTTGAAGGAGAGGGGGGCTAAGCCTACATCCCAATGTTTATTGCCTGGGGTTTCTACTATATAATTGTTATGTTTTGTAGATACCGGTAGTAATTAAAAGCAATATAAAAATGCGTGAAAGATCTCAATTTTAATCAATAACATGTACAGTGTAACTATGCTTATTTTAAAATACCCCCATTTTTGATAATATTCACGAATTGAATGAAGTGTAATCCATTAAATTCAGCTCTTTTATAACCGAAAAAATATTTGTGATAAATCATAAAGACATAATAAAGACACAAATTTCCGTGCTTGTAAAGTATGGTTGAGGAATACATGATATTTTTTAATTTTATGTACTAGTTATTTTTTTTTTCCACACAATGATTTTGGGTTTAGGAGAATTCTTTTTATTTCATTACACAGATGTATTTATATATAAAAAGTAAAAACCTGTTATTATTTTACATATTTTTTTCTAATTTCGTGTCGCGGGAAATGTCATTGTGACGTCACAATATTCTTCAGAAAGTCGATTGAAAATCTGACGGCCATCCGATTTCCAAACGACTTTCAGATTTTGCTTTCGAGTTTCGACTTGGGTGGTTACACGGTAAGATTTTAGTCGAAAGCAAATCTGATGGAAAAATCGGAAGGAAAATCGGATGAAAAATCGTATCGTGTGACTGCACCTTAATGCGACGTGTATACGGATTTTTGACATCTTCAGTATTAGGGGTCTCCAGGTAAATAACATTAGTACTACTAAGACCACGCTATCTGCTCAACCGTACGGTTAAAAAAATATGGTCTTTAAGGTCTAATGAAACAGATGTGTAAGACTTTTATCTGAAGCTCATCGGGATATATCGTATTGACCTAAAAATGGAATTTATACCATCGTTAATTGACAATACGTACATCGTCGATAAACCTAAATGCCGTGTTGAAGGCCACAGCAAGTGTTTTCTTCTTTTCATGTATAAACTTTTTGACAAATTCTGCTTCATATGAATACAAATTTAGGTCTGCTAATATCGGAGCGCAATTGGTAGCCATGAAGATTCCAATAGATTGTTTGAAGACCTGGTCTCCAAAAAAACACATAGATATAGTCAATCAGAATCTTAAGCATCTTTTTAATGTCAACTTTAGAGTACGTGTATGCTAAATCGGAATGTTTTTATTAAAATAATTTTGCAAATGCCAATGACAAGGTTAGTAAATTAACGAGCTTTTACTGAAAAAGCAGCTGTCAATGTTTTCAAAAATCAGATACGTTTTCAAATTAAAACGTTATTCATAACATTATATCTTATGATTATAGTACGGTACCTTAAAATATATGCTTCGAATCTTATATACATACCTTTGAATATTGTATGCTGAACAGCCAAAATGAAAAGTCATGGAAATAAACGTCACTGAAAATAAATTTGTTTTCAAAATTATACAAATTAATCTGTAAAATTTACACTATAATTTGTAAAATAAAGTATTCAAATCTGTAATTTTAACATTGAATTTTAAAGGATGTGTGTGTATACCGTGTTTACTGAACTGAACATGTATTTTTTGTTATTTTATGAAATCGATCAATGTTCGTTATCTTTAACTATTATGTATAGAATTAATATTTTGATATTTTGTGATCTTCTTCAGATTATTATTTATTATTGTATTATCCCTCTACTACCCAGTTAACAATTTTGTTTAAAATGGAGTTAAGTGCAAAGTTCTTTTCTTTTGTAGAGATATATCTTTTCTTACTTACTTTTACATAATTCTGTTTTGTCATTTTTGCAAAGAACAAAATAACATCCTGTTTAAAAATTCTTTATGAATGAGGGTCATTTTAAGTGGTCTACTTTAAATTTTATGCCCTTTTCCTATGATTTTAAGATTAAATGCCAATATATCAAATGTAAAGTTGTGTCTCGTGGAAACTTTTTTTATTGCTTAATTCACCCCAATATAAACGTTTCTACAGTACCTGGTCATAAATGAGTAAATATTTCATTTTTCCATGAAATACTTCATTGTAAAATCCAATTATATAAAATATTAATGCAGTGATATTTCTGCCTAAAACACCATAAAATGCATAAATTTCTGTAGCTTCCACACATAAACGTAATTTAAATTAATTTCATCTGCGGCCATTACGATGATATCAAAGGTCTAGTGGAAAATAAAATTTTAAGACTGATTTATGATAATTTGAGGTTAGTAATTGTTGTCTTGACAAATTTCAATTTATTCAGCGTTCAAAAAAAGCTGAACTTTTTTTTGACTACCTCTAAGTCGAACAGAGAGTTTTGGACCGATATTTAAAGACAGACGATATACGTACCTCAATAACATATTTGTTTTCTAAAACTTTTCTCATTGAAGTATTACTTACGGAACATGTTTACTCGTAAAAAATTGAAGTATCTTACTAGTTATTTGTGCTAGATACCAGAGGATGTTTGTTCCTATAAAATCATTTTGGGAAAAATAATTTGCCAGTATCTCATTTTTTAGTGTTTCAATTTTTAAAGACAGTTAGAAATCAGTTTAGAAATAGGAGTTGGATTAAAATTCTAAATATTTCCCATACAATATAATACTAAGATACATGTATGTAAAACAGGTATTTGAGGAACGTATCGTCGGTCCTTAACTCCCAAGAAACCGACTTTTAGGTTAGTATATACGGTAATATTTAGTATATTACATAGGCAATTCCCATCTTAATTGTTAACAGAAATCTACTTAACTATAAACGAAACGTTATGTTTATTGTAATTTATTTATTGCTCAGTATAAAAATCCTGTGGCATATTACCAAATGTACAATAATAGTTACATATCAAATGAAAAGTTGTACATATGAATAAAAAGTAACAATGATATTATATGACAGGAATCATACAACTGTCCTTTACATATATAAAAATGCAACAAATACGATATGCATGTAAAGTTTACATATAACATACAAATTAATAATTGGCAGTTCCTCATTTTAAAAGCATTTAAAATATATTTTCCAAGGTTACAGAGTTCTTTGACATTATTAGCACTAATGAGCTGTATAAATTTTAACACAGAAGGATTACTCAAATAATATTTCTTAATGATTTTTTTCAAGAGTACGTATTTAGGACAAATTAGTATAAGATGATATTCATCCTCTATATCTTTATGTGATTTACAAATTAGACAAAATCTTTGGTCTCTTTGGGTATTTTGGTGCCTACCAGTTTCAATTGATTAGTTGTGTGAGGAAAAACGAATTTTAAGAATACATCTCTCAAACATTTTTGAATAGGTTTCACAAAGTAAAACTGTAGACAGAAGTTATTAATCAAGTGTTTATATGTACTACACTAATACACTTTGACACTTTGTCCATATTACATTCTTTTAAAAATCTAAATGATTTTTTTTTCTACTAGTATATCCGGACCCTTAAGATGACCCCACACTTCACATCCATAATTCAAACTACTGCTTCTATATGTGTCAAAAATGTTTATAGTAAAGTAGATATTTTTTAACAATTAAATTACCATTAGGATGGGTACGTCCCTAACAAAAACATACTATAGTAAACTATAGTTTACTATAGTTTACTGTACTAAATCGAAATTCCAAAGTTTTCAACATAGTAAATCAAAGTTCCAAAGTTTTTACCATAGTTAATCAAAGTTCCAAAGTTTGCATCATAGTAAATCAAAGTTTCAAAGTTTTCAACATAGTAAATCAGAGTTCCAAAGTTTTCACCATAGTAAATCAAAGTTCCAAAGTTTTCGCCATAGTAAATCCAAGTTCCAAAGTTTTCGCCATAGTAATTCAAAGTTCCAAAGTTTTCGCCATAGTAATTCAAAGTTCCAAAGTTTTCGCCATAGTAATTCAAAGTTCCAAAGTTTTCGCCATAGTGAATCAAAGTTCCAAAGTTTTCGCCATAGTAATTCAAAGTTCCAAATTTTTTTAGTATATCTTAACAAAGTTCCAAAGTTTTTACTATAGTCTATTTATTATTTGTAATTATTTTATCAACTTAAATATTTTAATTATTAATAATTTATAACAAAAATTGAATATATTTGAATAAAAACTGCTTATTAATCGGTGAAAGAGACTACCAGTATTTTTACATTAAAACAATATTGTAATGACCTGGGGTAGAATTTAATTAATTAGTTTATTTTTTTTATCATTTAATTGTGTCAACAATTATTGGGAATATCATCTGGGTGGATTTTATTATGCATTAATGACACTACTACATTTTAGTCCTTTGATTATTTACTCAACGTGGAATTGTCTATTTTTAGCACATTTGACATACTTGTTGTTTGCATTTATACAGGAAATCCTATATTCTATGAATTCATATGCATACCTTCAAAATCTTTGCATGTTTCTGTATTTTACTTGATTATTTATGAGTCAAATAAGCGCTTGACATAGCCATAATTACACACGATTGTTGGAGTCTTGGAAGTTGTTTACATCCCGCCGACATCTTATTTGTATTAGCCAGAGTTTCGTATTTGAGTAAGCTGTATTTTGTTATACAATTCAATGTTACGATTGTTTGTGAATATCCACAAAATTAATGTTTGAATGTCTTACTATGATTTATCAAGAGATTTTATGTTAAAAGTGATTTTATGGTAGTTACAAATTTTTACTATGACAGAGCTATTTGAATATCGTCTGCTATACGATTGCAGTTTTCTATCATGAAATACGCGTTTAATTCACATGGATTGTTTACTTACTTATTATAGACAAATCTTTTGTAATCCATATTTATTGGTTATTTTGTCTTTTCACATTCTAATTTCCTTTTGTAGTTATTATCCTCGTTGTACGGCAGCCTTGTTTGACGTTGTTTGACACTGTTTGACAGATCTATGTTTGTACAGCGCCGTACAGGGCTGTGATTGGTTGAGTGACACCGTACAGCTTTTTCATTGGTCAATTTGTATCACATGACTACTTTCGAAGGTTATAAATATAAGTGCCTCGCAGATTATTTTCAGATTAAGTTGCATCGGCAACATAGGGCAGTAGAGCCTAAACCTAGGTGAGACAACTGTAAATTATCTCCCAACACACTGGACACCTGATGTTATATTTTTAGAGTGTTTTAATGCCAAATCAACTTTATTACCATTTTTATCCTTGAAAGTACGGTTGACACTGTGGGACAAAATGAATATTAATTATCTATATGTATCCAATATAGATGTTTGTTTACCTATTGTTATTTCCTGTTGAATGATCAATTAATAAACCAATTATTAAACTGATACCAAGCCTTGTCCTTACTGAGAAATATGAAACAAGAAATAAGGAGTGACCTTGAGAAGTATTGTGTGTAATTATTTTGTACAGCCCCCATGTCAGGATGGCCATCCGTGGGGAGCTTACAATTTTTTGTGTCAGAAGTGGGATGCCTGTTTTCCAAAAGGCATCCAGTGATACAAACCCATTCCTTGTCCAGTAACCGCTCAGCTGTCCAGTGTGTTGGTATAACATGTACATAGTGTGTTTGTTAACTTATAATTTTAGGTTTTACATTTTTATTAATACTAGTAAGATGGCAACGGCTCAATCCCCAGACCCTGAAGTGCAATTTCGTGTTGATGATGATGAGTTAGGCCAAGGTGACCAGTTCTTTGACTCATCCCCCTCCCCACGACGTCCAGAGAGACCTAGCCATAGCCCAGTTCCTGATGTTGAACCAGAGCTTTGCAACAAAGATAGATTTGTACCATATCCAGAAAATTCCCCTCCTCCCAGAATGCAATATGATAGATTGAATGATGTGACTAGACAGTCCCCTGACACTAATTTAGTTGTAAAGCCAGAGTCCTATAATGGTAAAGATGACTGGGATGAATACATCTCTCATTTCCAAGATTGTGCTGAGTTAGGCAGATGGTCTGACCGCACTAAGTTACTTTTCCTAGCAGCGAGTCTTTGCGATCAAGCCAGAACTTACTATATGGGTTTAGCCCCTGAAGAGAAAGAATCCTTTCAGTCCCTTGTTCACAAACTTAACCAAAGGTTTGGTAGTACTAGAAACCAGAACAGATGGCTTTCTAAACTTGAGATGAGACAACGCCTTCCAAGTGAGTCCATAGCAGAACTGGGTGATGACATCAGGCAGATGGCACAAAGAGCATACCATAATTTAGACCCCTTAGCTCAAGAAGCATTAGCTCTTAATCAGTTGTATAAAGTTATCTCCCTTGAAATGAAGTGCAGGTGCATTGACAAAGATTGTCAGACGGTGGCCGAAGCAGTAGATGTTATTGAACGGTACGAGTCAATTCTTGGGGATAGTTCCGAAAAGCGCAAGTTAAATGTTCGTGCAGTTGAATCAACCGGGAGAGCAAAAAGGTCATTTGATGAGCAG